GCATTATTTTAAGGCTAGCTGTATTTTCTGCTTTTCTGGTTTTACGGGGCATTAGGGGGAGGCTTCGAGTATTTGAAGCTGGACTCTTTCTTCTTGTCGTAGGCCGGTAAATCGAACCACGTGTACGTGAGTGGGTCACATGGTGGAAATCAAACTTATTTGCAGATATAGAAATATTCCGTGTTGCGTTTGTGCGTGGCATCCTGATTGCTGTGGTGCGCCTCCTGGCTGGTTGCCTCCGACTTCAGCACCTTGTTTTGCTAGAGTAGACTGGGGTCTTACCCATGGACTCCCATGTTTATAATGGGAGCGTGGCTCCTACGCGGTTACATTATCGGAATTAGGACACGGCCGCCGCCGTGGCTATTGTGTGGAAATAATTCCGTTATAACACCCCTAAACCACATAATACTTGTATCCAGGAACAAGAGAATATCCATCGTCAATGAATTAGTAATAATCGCACTCTGTTATCAAGAAAAAAACACCGATTAAGTGAAAATTTTTGAATAAAATCGTGTGTCGCCGCAAACACGACTTCACGCTGCTATTTCTAAACCGGAAGTCCCGCCGAGTACTGTATCATATGGAGCCACTATTTCCATATATGCCTGCGTTGATCTTCTGTAGCATGCCATTGAGTCGCTGAGCAAACATGCATTGGTAAGTTCCTGAGTGTTCAGTCACTTAAGGGCCTTTGTCACAGCCACGAACTCCATTGTAATGCTGGTGGTGGTAAAAATAATTGGCTCCACTATCCTCACTGGTGACTTCCCTTTAGTTCTTGCGGCAACATTTCACGCCCTTCACTTCTGACAAATTACAGAACCATCTGTACATATAACAGCATCTTCCAGGAATATGTGTTCCTCCACCACTTCTTTCAGTTCTGCACCAACTATTGGTTGCGCCAAATCACGGCACTGTCTTGACAGGGTGATAACCACCACAAAGCACTGCTTGAACTCATGTGATATGGGTATCAAGTCCTCTCTCCACGGTTTATCTCTTGAAGGGAAATCAACCTGGGAAGTACTTTCTCTGTCTGACCCAACCAAGACATTAGCAACAGATTCTGCCTCAAAAGAGTTAGTGCTATTCAATATGGACAGCCGTTTTATAACCTTTAATGTACGGTAGCTTGTTATTTTTGTATGTTCCTAGACTGCGGCTATCTACTCTGTTCACGTGTAGATTTGTTTATTACATAGGTAGTATATATATATATATATATATATATATATATATATATATATATATATAAATATATATTTATATGTAGTAGTGGCTTAGTGAATTTTGCATCTTGAATCCGCTGGCTGTTAGAGAAGCTCCAATACGGGCATAATTTAAAACTACCAGTATCTGACGTCTTGACTAGTGCTCTTTCCTAGGATTATCCGCACTTTGTCTTTCCACATTAATTAACGCGCCATATGCCAAGTAATCCTTCAGAGATAGTTCTTACAATGTGTTCCTGCATGTGCCAACAAATTCCAGACAAATTAATGGCGCTTCCTGTCATAGCCAGTTTGCGTTGCCTTGAGTAGGAACAGCGTGGAAACAAAGCTTTGCTATTTGTTGTCTGTCCGTGTTAATGCTACTATGAATGGATTATGTAAGCACAGAGAAAGATTAGCCTAGTTTACGTTATACCTGTGTGTAAAGGGTTTGGAGCATAGCCTCCGCCCTCCTACCCACACATAAAGATAAACACATGTGTTAAGACGCTTTTTCCTCAACTATGTAAAGAAGTTCTCCTTTTAAGTAGTTGTTTGTTTATCAATTTAATTTTTTTTCTCCTAAATTAATTATCATATTTACCTGCCAATCAGAAATTATTAGTTAATTTTTATTATTATTATTACATACTTAAACAATGGTTGGGTTCCTTGAGTTCTCCCACCAGAAAATATTTAAGGCGCTTCCCCTCCCTCCTAATTTGTGTTGGCGCCCCTGTGAGGGTGTATGTGTTTGTGTGTGGGGTGATAGAGAGAAATAAGGAGGAGTAGGTCCCACGTTTTATTTACTACAATCTTTCATTATCCTATGCTTTGATGCATTTGTGTGTCTCTCTCATTGATCGGTTATCCTCTGTGTTCCACTGCACATACATATTAGGTATGTTATTATCAGGTTCTCTCAGTATTCGCCAGTCTCTTCTCGTATGGGCTCCAGAGTCCCATGGGGGGACAGATTGGAGGATAGACCAACTACCCCCTAACAAGCCTAATGTAAAAGGCTGCTAATAAAGTGTTTTGCCGTCGGAATGCTGTCTGAAAGGCGAGGAGCTAAGAAAAAGCCACTAATGTCAAACAGATGTGTTTGCAGAATTCTAGGTTTGGAACAAGATCAAAGTACAAAATTGGACGAACAAGAATTTTCCGCTGGAGTGTACAGCTGTTGAATGAAAGCAGAAGAAGAAGAAGAAGAAGAAGAAGAAGAAGAAGAAGAAGAAGAAGAAGAAGAAGAAGAAGAAGAAGAAGAAGAAGAAGAAGAAGAAGAAGAAGAAGAAGAAGAAGAAGAAGAAGAAGAAGAAGAAGAAGAAGAAGAAGAAGAAGAAGAAGAAGAAGAAGAAGAAGAAGAAGAAGAAGAAGAAGAAGAAGAAGAAAAAGAAAAAGAAGAAGAAGAAGAAGAAGAAGAAGAAGAAGAAGAAGACAACTAGCTCAAGAACAACACCCATCACTTAATTAAGTTAAATTAAGAACAGAGCAAGTCATTATTCTACACCTTAAACTGGACACAATCGACTTGACAACCACATGTATGCACACTTTTTAATTGACAAATCAGCCATGTGTACATGTAGATTGGCACCTGAGACAACAGATCGCGTTCCTCCTAGACCAGTGGTTCTCAACCTTCCTAATGCCGCGGCTTTTTAATACAGGTCCTTATGTCGTGGCGACCTCCCAACCAAATAATTATTTTCGTTGCTACTTCATACCTTCTGTGAATATGTTTTCCGATGATCTAAGGAGACCCCTGTGAAAGGTCGTTTGACATTAAAAAAGGGTCGCGACCTACAAGTTGAAAACCGCTGTCCTAGACTGTCCCAAATACAGCATATCAAGGTAAGACAAAAACTGGTGCAAGCTAAATGTTGCGGGTTGCTGACTGAATTACAAAAGACAACGAAGTTCATATTAGAGACAACACTGCAGATATAATCTATTTGAAGCGAACGAAAGAAGAAGAGAAAGTTGAATTTGTTTAGTTCTTAACCAAAGTTTCACTTTAGCGATTCTACGCCATTTGACTCCCGCCATTCTGTAGTTGCATACTTTAATGCATTTTATACTTACTAGTAATTGTTTTAGTCATTCTTCACGTGTCTGCACAACACAGGAGTTCTGATCTGACATTAAACGTTTCATGTTTGATAATTAATTACCCCTGACTCCCATCGCTCGCCAATCAAGCTTTTTTTTTTTTTTTTTTTGAAAAGGGAAATTTTGTTTCCCGACCAGTGCCACCTTTGGGTCGACCCAGTCTTGTACAAATGTGTTATTTCGTAAAAATTTAGGTGGAATCGTGGGAACAAAATTACATGGAGTGTTGTGTGGAGGGAGTACATCAGGCAGGGAATGAAAATGAAGGAAGACATTACTGCAGAAATGAGAACTGAGCGTCTGAGACGAAACGGACTAAACACAAATGTTGACAACAGTGGTCCTAAATTCCCATGTTATAATTGTGCAAAACTTTTCTAAACGCTGGCAGGTCTTGCTAGTCACACTCGCCATCACAGTGGGCTGTAGCAATATAACACTGTCGTCTGGAAAAACGGAAAGGTACCAATCAATAAGTCTACCATAAAAACCAGATTAACAGGAACACGGTTTTGGGGATGCATTATATATATCTGAGAGATTGAGTCCCTGTTTGACGTGTATTCTTTGAATACAAACTCTTGATTTTTGGACTCTGTGGAGTTTGTGTTAACAAAGTTTTTACTGTTCTTAAATGTCTCCCCGTCCAAGCTCCAAACTAATTAATCAAATACCGATGTCCCGGCCAGCTCAGGTGATTGCAGTAGACTGCAAAACAAGGAGGGATAGGAGCCCCCTGGGAGCAGTTAGTAACCCCTTTATAAACGATTGCCCGGAACCTTTGACAGGGACGCACACACAGCCAGGACAGACGCACACGAGACGGACAACAGAGGATAGTTGAGGAGAGACAGAAGGCACCCACACCCAGAGAACACAGAGACAGACAGAGGATAGACACAAATAGAGAAGAGACAAGATACAAACGGAGATACACTGAGGCAGAAGAAAGAGGACAACAGAGGACATCAGAGGACAGGCTAGGGATAGAGACTGAGACGAATAGTAGAGCGAAGTACCGCTCAGTTTTGTAGTTAAAAAAAAAAAAAAAGATAATTAAAGATATAAGTATACATGTATTCAATCAGAATTACGGTTAGAAGCTATGGCCCTTTAGAAGAGGTCACCATAGTATTGACAAACGATGATATAACGGCTCAGGTGTACAGTTACTTTGTAAGGGAAACCGACATTTATTACCATCGAGTATCGCTCCAGACTGATTCTGGCGTGGACACAACTTCGGAGTCAGACGAAGATGAGGCCAGGGCATAGGTGGTAGTTAAATGGAATTAGTGAATAGAGTTAGGAAGTTAACAATGTGATTTTTTTTCAATTGTGTGACATTATATTAAAGGAGAAGATTTAAAGAAAGAGAACAGTTGTTTCCAGACACTTTATTATTCAAGCACCTAAGGCACGTGAGAGGTGTGCAGCAAGCAACACATCATCATCATCCACTCCACTTGCGACACGACCATCTTTCTCCTCGTCTATCAACAAACACCCGCCGCTCTTGACACAAAACCATACAGAGCCTGGGTTGCAGTTTCAGAGACGACTGTGTCACACATGCAACGATCTTTCCTGGACTTCCACCTATTGCTCAGACAGCTCCTATTCCATGCTCTCGGTAACGATGCCATATTTATGCTGCTCTCTCCACAGACATACACGCCGACAGGATTCGATACCTACAGCACCCAGTACTGTGTCTCGGATACCTACAAAATCAACATGTCTGTCTGGGACACTTCCGGTAAGTACAATATATAGTATGAGAACATCTGTTCGAAATTGTTCTTCTTTTCTGTAGATCTTTTTTTTTTTTACTGTTCAAATTCAGGTGTTGAGGCATCTGCCTATGTGGGTCACGAGGCTCCAATTTGCAGAACGCAGAATAGACCCACTGCCCCCTAGCAAGAATGTCGTAGGAGGCGACTAACTTGGGGTGTTTCCTTCAAAGTCGGAGTGCATCTGTATGAGAGACAAGTAACCAATAGCCTGCATACAAATAAGCCAGATCTGTAAAAACATATGCACGCAAAACTTCAAATTCTGGATTAAAATTAAAGACCAGCTGTGGACGAACAACCGGATCTTTCCACCGGAGTTACAAGAAATCTGGGGTGAGCCTTAGTGTATGCTACATAGATGATGTTCTTTATGGCCTGGGATATTCCATCTATCCGTCGCTTGCAGGTGCGGCCTTTCGCTCTGGCTCCGTTATAGATATGGGCAAATGCGGCCACTTTTGCCTTTGACGTCTATGAAGGGTTCCAGAACAGATAGGAAACTATGGCGGTAGGACTGGATCTCGGGGATGCTTATAACAGAGTAAGATACGACATCTTGATGACTGCACTGAAGGAGAAGGAGGTCAGTCCAAGGATAGTGAATTGGATTGCAGCTGTCCTGTATTCACGTCGAGCTGCTCTTCAACTGGGCTCATGGACCTCAGAACCATACAGAAGAAAGGGAACAAACAGCCCGAGAGCTACAAGCAACAGTGGACAAAGTGACTGAGTGGTGTACAGAAATGAGGACAGTCGTCCACCCGGAAAAGGGGTCTGTTTTGTGGTGTTCTCTGGACAATAGCATCGTTAAAGCTAATTTCCCAAGTCTCACAATAGATGGTAGAACATCAACAGAGAGAGCAAACTGAAGTATCTGGGAATTACATTTGACATGAGCCTGTCATTCAAGGACCATGTGGAGAGTGTTGTGACGAGATGCCAAAAAGGACTTGGTGCACTTAACACTATGGCTGCAATTGACATAGAGCAGAGAATGCTTTTCACACTATATCAGCACTTGATCCTGTCAGTGGTTGAATATGGCCTGGGACTGCTTACCGTCTCAAAGAGTTAGATGGACAAACTAGAGCGCATACAGCACGCGGCTATGTGGCTCATTCTGGATTGCAGGTAGGCACAAGGTGCTGCATGTGAAGTCATATCTTAGGGTAGCTGCAGACACAAACCACCCTTTGCACGAAGCTCTGTGTGCACAGGGGCTGCGGCTAAAAAGAGGGAGGTCATGGATGGCTCAGGCAGAAGACACAATCAGACAGGTCTGCATCCTTAAGAACATTAGGCGAGGAGAGGAGCGGGTCAAAGTGTCACCTGAGCAGTCAGACTTGTGTAGGGTCATTAATCACACTGAGCCGGGAATGCAGAGACTAGCCGGCAGGTGCCACAGAGGTGGAAATTCAGCAATTAATTCAAGATAATGCTCGCTCAGAAGATTTGATCATTTACACAGACGGTTCAGTGTCAAGAGGCAAAAGAAGTGCTTGGGGTTTCTTAGCAAAAGTTAATGGTCGACGTTTGGTGCAGGAGAGCCTAGCTTATGATACCACAACATCCAGCTTAAGAATGGAGGTGGAGGCGGTCACTGCGGCTTTCCGCTGGCTATAGAACACGATACACATATACATTTTGGATTGTAACTGACTCAGAAAGCATGCAGAGTGGCATGCCTCGCGGCGGAAGACACGGGTGAGGAGTATTGTCTGGATTTTTTCACCAGGTATGCCGGTGTGTTAGGAAATGAAAAGGCGGACAGACTGGCTGGCTCTGCACAGCTTGGTGGAATACTGATGCATGATAAGGCAGACGTGGTTAGTGCCTTGTGGGAGAGCTTGTACAGTCGGAGGAGCAGATTGATCACCACAGTGTGGTGAGATTGATGCAGTTGGGGATGACGAGAGGTTCTGGCAGATGCTCGAGGCTCAGAGGAAAGGCAAGACGGACGTTTAATCAGAATGCTACTGGCACCTTTAGTATCGGAACTCTTCGCTGGCTGCTGAAGATGGGGACGTAACTCTTATGGAAATGCCCTGAGTGCTGTGATGTCGGTTCTTGAATCAAATCATATCCGTTGTATATAAGTGACGGTGTCTTCACACATGTCCAGACCATTTGACCTGTTGTTTCTTGATGTAGTTTAGCACTTGTCAGGGCGCCGACATACAGAAAACACGTAAAGCGGGTTTGTCTTTAGATCTCTCTCCCCCTTTCCCTTAAAAACAGTTTCTAAAGGGACCTAAACCTTATTTGAGTGCCTTAAAGTGTGTGTTGTATGTGTGGGTGCGTGCGTGCTTGCGTGCGCTCGCTCTTGTGAAAGACAATTAACATTTCACATTTTTTTAAATTACTCGTGCATTTGGTGTCCAACACATTTTCTGACATACTGCATTTACTAGTGTTTTGATATGGAAGGAGCTTCAAACATGAGCGGGGCAATACTGGCGATAGTAGGGAAGTTGAGTTGAGATGAATTGGTTGAGTCAAGAACCGACCCAACAGCATGAGGGGCATTCCCATAAGCGCTTCCTCTCTATTTTCAGCAGCCAGTGCAGAGTTAAATACCAGTTGTGCCAGGAGCATTCTGTTTGTACGTCCGTCTTGCCTTTCCTCTGAGCGTCAAGCATCGGCCAGATCCTTTCGTCACTCCCCGTTGCATCACTCTTACTTGTGGTGATCCATTTGCTCCTCCGAACTGTAAACATTCTCACACAACGCCCTAACCACGTTTCGCTTATCATGCGTCAATATTCCACCAAGTTGTGCAGAGCAAGTCACTGTCTGCCTGTTCATTTCCTAACAGACCGGTATAACCCGGAGAAAAGAGCCTGACAATGCTCCTCATTAGTGACCTCCGAAGGGAAGCATACAACTCTGCACGAAGCATGCATGCCCTAACCTTCCTCAGTGTGATTTCTGAGTCAGTTACAATCACGATGTGTGTGTGTGTGTGCGTGCGTGCGCGCGCGCGCGCGTGTGTGTGTGTGTGTGCCGTGTTCTATAACCAGTGGAAAGCATCAGTGACTGTCTGAAACTTATCTAGTATTCACTCTTAGCTGTATGCATACAACGTACTAGCAAACAAAAAATGACGAGGTACTATTTGGATGACATGTTTTTTTTTTCATGGATGACGTTTTTGTGTTGGTCATAATAAAATCAGTCTCATTTATTATCAGACTATTATCGAAACTGCCAGCAAATTTAAGACCAAACTTCAATTCCTTTTTGACATAAAATGTCTGAAAAGACAGCAGGTGAACAGTCGGAGAGTATGCGCATATAGATCCTTGAAATGGTTGTTTCAGAAGCCATTTCAGCCCTTTTTTTCTTTCTTTCCAAACCACACTTTTTGGTCGGCTTACCAGCACCATATAAGTTATCACTGGAAACCTAGCACCAGGTGAACAATAATCTACAGCCGCGGGAAAGAAGAGACGATAGCAATGTTGCGAGATGCAGCATTAAAGAAACAAGATTGCTTGGATGTCAGATTAAACGCCTGCGGTAAAGAGGCTGAGTTTGCATTCATCTGCAAGAAATGGGTCGAGGATAACTGAAAGGTTATTACTGACTGGCTCTGGCGTCTGTGATGTATAAGGCGGTTAAATTACATTACTGATGAGCTTGTTACTTTCTTCATGCTTGCTTCTTTCAGTTACTTCTGATGATCCCGTCTGAGCATTGGGTTGGAGCAGTGGTTGCCTATTAGCTACATCCTGAATGCCCTTTTTTTTTGCAAAGGTCTGGTAATATATAATTTTAGACGATCCCTAAGAAATGGTTAAACCCAGTCCAGTCCACTATTCTATGGGTGTTATGTGATGCGTGGTTTGTGAACACCGAGCGAAATCATGAAATCATGTCAGAGCACCCCTAGAATAGGGCCTGGGGATTCCATGCTTTTCTTTCTTTTGGAGTCGTCTAAAATTATAGTACCAAGGTCTGTCACGGTCCTTATTTCTGTAATAGTCAAATTAATTAATTATGTAACCTGCATTAGTTTGTAGATATTGGAATCGCCAAAAGTATTACATTAAAATGTTGGTTACTTTTTTTAAAAAGATATCGCCGACCCCTTTGTTCTGCCGCCCCTTTCGCCGCTCCCACTGAGGCGTGATTTGTTCCCATGTTTAAGCGTTAGCAGGTAACGATAATACCTCGTCGCTTTACTTTTGAGAATATACCTGCACAGCTAGCTTTGTAGTACTAGTAGCTGGTAGCTGTCACACATTACATTTTCTGCATGAGTGGCGTCAGCGTGCAGCCAGAGTTTGGGGTACTCAAACCCACAACCTCTTGCTACAGGAGGCTGTGCTCAAAACTAGAGTTCTTGAACAAACCCAAAGTCCAGAAGTGGACGAACAACCAGAACCTTCCGCTGGAGTTTACTGCCGGTGAACACTAAAAATAAAAGTAAGATGTGTGAACACACACACATACATATACACAAACGAACACAACACCGCCTCCACCCCTCCTCACCCACCCAGTCAAACACCTGTTGTAATTTATTTTCATTGAATTATGTGTGTTAGTACGTGTGTATGTGCGCTAGTTGCAAGTTGGACATGCTGTGCTGGCATGTTTGCTCTTGCACTGAATATAAACCTGCTGACGTACATGTCTAGACGTGCCGCAACTTCATCAGTCGGTCTTGCAGGTGCAACATTGAAACACAGCCAGTGATAAATCGGAAGGCACCTTGCAGCCTTATAATATATGGATACACACAGACGGCTGTTGCGTTGTGTAGAACAGTGATTCTCAAACTGGGTACCGCGCCGACCTGGGGTGCCGCGAACGTAAGTCAAGGGTGCCGCAGCAGTAATCAAAAGATTTTCAAAATTTGCTTGAGATCAGCAAGGACAGGAGTTTAAAACATTAATACCGTGACGGAAGCCAAGAGGAGTTCTGGTTGCAAGTGTATTCAGAAGACAATGCTATTGCC